GATATCTTGTCCATCGGCATAATATATCATCATGGTAGCGTGAGCTGGCCACTCACTGTTGCCGACCCACCAGGGCCTTGGCGCGCCCGCGGGCGCCACGGCGAGCTGGCCAGAGGCTCGAGGTTGGAAAAGGGCGGCATCGGTCGCACCTGTCAACGCACCGAGCTCGGCAGTGTCCGAGCCACCGGCAGAGGCCGGGAGGAGTCAACCGGCAAGGACCGAGAAGAGCGGCCGCAAGCGCGGCAAGAGGAGCGAGGCAGCGGTCGAGAATAGACGCAAGCAGCTCCAGTTCAAGCACGGCTTGAAGGATACAGGCAATAAGCTTCACGACCTCGCGTACATCGAGGACCACCCCTCGGAGAATTCGTCGGGAGCCATCGAGGAGGCGAAGAAGGAAGTCCTAGATCAGATCATAGACCTCGAGCGTACGAGGCAGGAGATAGCTGAGAGCAAGGAGGAGCTCGCCAGGAGACACGCAGTCAAACATGGACGAGCAAGTTCGGCAGCAGTTCGACTTACTGAGGCAGGAGTTCGCCGCTCGAATGAGTCAGACCGTCGACGAGATGAGGAGGCTGGAGAACGAGAATCAACGGCTTCAGCAGCAAGTAGCAGGAGGCCTCGCGGCAATCCCGCAGGCGATCGAGCGCATGGGCGAGCAGATCAGAGGCGCGTCGAGCGCAGGAGGAGCCGCTCAAGGTCTCGTCGACACCAAGGGGATAGGCAAGCCCACGACGATGGGCGACGATCAGGAGAAGTTCGGAGCTTGGAATCGCAAGATGGAGAACTACGTGATAGGCGTGTACGGAGAGAGCTTTCGTCCTGTTCTTCGGTGGGCTGCAGAAGCCGAACGCCCCGTGACGATCGAAGGGGCGCAGGAGGCGCACGGAGGAGTACCAGAGCTGGAGACCAAGGTCCACCAGCTGTACGCGGCGCTGATCAGCACGACGGCAGACGGCAGCGAGAGCAACGACCTCGTGACGGGCGCCCCCGACGGGAACGGTCTAGAGGCCTGGCGGAAGCTTCACCGCAGGTGGGACCCGACGACAGGTCCGAGGAAGAGGCTGATCCTGAGGTCGATCATCTCGCCTCCGAAGTGCAACGCGGAAGAGCTGGGGTCCGCCTTAGAGAAGTGGATCCAGCAGATAGGCAAGTACGAACGCCGCCAAGGAGAAGACGGGCTGGCCGAGTTGCCGGAGGATATCAAGATGGCGGCCCTCGAGATGCTCGTGCCTCAGGACATCGAGAACCACCTCGTACTCAACACGCATCGGCTCGTGACGTTCCAGGACAGCCTGAACGAGGTAATGACGATCGTAGAGGCTCGGACAGGCGTGAAGATCAAGGAGCCATCGATCCGCGCACGGGCGCACCATCCGGACGACATGGACGTCGGATCGTTCGGAGCCCCGAAAGGAAAAGGCAAGGGCAAGGGCAAGGACGGCAAGAGCAAAGGGAAAGGCAAGACCCAGGAGACGAAGGGGAAGAGCAAATCGACGAGCGGATCATACTCAGGCTCCCGCACGTCCCCGACGGGTTCGGGCCGTGGTTCCGGGCCCACGGCACCCCGAAGCACAGGCGTGCGCTTCGACGGCTACTGTCGGAACTGCGAGAGATGGGGCCACAAGGCATCCGAATGCTGGAGGAAAGAGCAGGGATCGAGTACGAGGGCTGGAACTGGATCCGCAACGGGGGCAAGCGCTGGTGGTAAAGGTGGTGGCCGCGGCGGCAAGGCCGGCGGCAAGGCTGCAGGCAGCCTGGAGGAGGAGCCTGAAGCGGAGGTCGCCGCCCTGGACATGGGCAGCCTGGATTGCCTGGAGCTCGCCGGCGGCAGCGGCCGCGGCGTAGCAGCGGTCGACCTCTCTCCCTTCGCGCAGGACGACTGGATGAAGTTCAACTGGGACAGCGGTGCAGCGGTCTCAGCATTCCCTCGGAGCTTCGCGCCGCCGACGGGATTGAAGGGCAACGGCAGCACGTATCGCACGGCCAGTGGTGAGCTCGTCCCGGACGAGGGCAGCTTGCAGCTCAAGGCGGAGGATGAGTACGGAGTGCTACGAGCGCTCAAGGGACGCGTGACGAACGTGCACAAGCCGTTGATCTCGGTGGGGCAAGCAGCAGGAGCTGGACAGCGTTCGTTCCTGGGCCGCAATGGCGGCTGGATATTCCACGAGAAGAGCCCAATCGGCAAGCGTGTGGTAGGCATGCTGGAGAAGGAGGCGAAGACGGCGAAGCACCAGATGCTGCCGGTCTATCGTGAGCAGGGCGTTTACAACTTCTACCTCAAGAA